GGTTAATAAAAGGGAAATTTATTGGCTTACCTAAGTGGGAATTCCAAAAGGAATGAATTCAGGAAAGCCAGAGATAAAAGCTCAAAAATACTTTTATATTTGGCTCTTTTTATCTGTGGATTAAGTCTCAGACAGGCTTTCAGCATTGGTAATATGGTTGCCAGGAGCGTATGTGGGCCCTTAATCAATACCCCTGGACACTCCAGCAGAGTATCTTTATTTTGATGGGCCAAGCAAACAGTATCATGATTAGTCAGACTGGCTCTAATATGATGTGCCTTCCCTGAATCCATTTACTGTAGCCAAAGGAAAGTGATGCTCTGATAACTTTAGCACAGTAACTGACCTTGCACTAGTACTACAGTTGGAATCAATTCTACTTGAATGCTGTATATTGAAAGTGAGAGGGAATGCTTTCCGAGGAAAATCATTATCTCTTACAAGAAGTGGGGGACAGGATATTGGCAGTGAAAGTTTTGCAAAAAATTTCTTGCAATTTAGGAGTTGTTAATTGAGATTTTGGTATATCAGATATCACCAAGTACAACAGAGAAAAGGGACTTAACCACTCAGTGGGTTGTCTGCCTGTTGGCCCACTAGCCCTGTAATAGCACATCTTTGGTGGACAGTCAACACTTGCTGAATTGAGTTGAACCTGTTCCAAGCTTATGCTTTCTCTCAGATTTCTCTTAGAACTCATTCTATTTAATTTTCAGAACCGTTTCAGTAGATACATGGTACAGAGCTCAAAAGTGGGGTTCTGAAAATAAAACTCATCTTCACCTATTTTGCAAATTGATCATATCATCTTCTCTTTCTTGCTCAAACATCTCAGCTTTTTCAGAGAAAGTAAAGGAAGTCACTGAATGGCCAGTGGCTTTTAAGAGGAAGCCCTGGTAGAAAGTTGGAAAAACTGCACCTGATATAAAATTAATAGATGCATGGAAAAACTTAAGTTGTTTCTGGATGAGAGAGAAGGCAGTGACTCTTTCTAAGTGCTGTGGGGGGCATCTCAAAGCACTTTAATCTTTGATGAATATGATTGAACTCTTTCCGCTACTCAGAGAAAGGCAGAAATGCTCACAAGTGTTCATCCTGTGTTGGCTCCCTGCCACCGTCAACCTTGTCTTAAGCATAATTATCAGGCCTGTCTATTCTCCTTCTAGTATTTTAAAATTCTTCTTGCAGACAAGAAAACATGATAGATGAGATACATGTGGCGAGTGAAACCAGGTTTTACAGAAGGAGGGCACTGGAATGGGAGCCAGGAGTTTAGGGTGTGCAGTGCCTTAGGGGTGTTTCAGCAGTTGTAAGTTCCCCGTGTCTGTTTTATTCTTTTATCTATCATGGCTTCCATTCCAAGACCACCTCCTAGATATTCTATTCAGGTATCATTGCAGATGTGCATGGATGGAGATGTGGTATTACAGGCCCAGTTGTGTCCTGAAAATCAACAGATATAATGCTTCCCTCGGGTCAATGTGCAAGACATTTGGTAGTTATTTAAAATATCACATCTCCTAGTTTGATGGTAAGATAGTGAATACACAGGAAAGATTGAAAATACGGCTCAAACACATACCAAGCCTAGTATTTGGGGACACTCTATACTATCTTTAACACAGATGAATCCTGATTGAGAAAGAACAACCAACCAACAAAAAAATATGACAGGAACAAGGGGAAAATATGAGAACCAAGACCAGTCATGTAAAGGTACAAGATCCCAATGATGAATGTAACTATACTATATACCTAAAATGTACCAATAAACTCAATGAGAGAAAAAAAAATATGGCGGCAGATCCAGACCAGAGAAGATCTGATGAAAGATACTCATCAACCACTAGGATCTGTACTTGCCCAAAATCCAAGTTATTTATTTACTTATTTTGGTATTGATTTCCTTATAGTCCTACAAGCATTCTGAGACAAGCACTCAGAAATGAACTGAACATCAAAAGAGGAAGTTTTCAGAATGTGACACATTCTATTTTAGAAGATACAGTCTTTAAAGGGAGGACCTAGGTAATAGTATATGAGAATTGCCATTTCCCATGGAAGTTTTGGATTCAGAGAATCAGAGATTAAGATATCAACTTGATAAGTACTGCTATTTTAGTTGTAGGAAGATATTCCAGGTAGATGGTTGCATAGAAATGAGGAAATGGAATTTTTTTGAGCTGTGATGTATAGCTGTTAAGTCTGAGAAAGGAATTTATTTTTTATATTTCCTTATATCCTAAAATCAAGAAAATATTTAAAATATCAATTCTCTACTGCCCTACACTTTGAAATTGATAAAGTATGTTTCATAATATTCTCTTTTTATTTCTGGGCTAATCTTGTGACTTAGGCATGATAGGTGTTATTTTGTAAATGAAGATGCTAGGGAGGTTTAATGTCTTAGGTTGTGAAAAGAAAGAACTTTACATGGTCTTACTTAGGCCAGGGTATTTTTTTCATGAAGTCTCAAGCAAATAAACCACTAAGACAAGGGAAAACATAAGCCTAATCTAGAACTACCAGAAATATTTGAATTCAAATATGGTGGCAGATACTATCTTGTAATTATAGTCTTTATGTCAAGTTATGACAACATATGAAAAGAATGAACTTGGAGGTAAAAAGCATGGGCAAACTGATAAAGTTGAGAAGACATGTGTGTGGGTTAGATTTTCTTGTTACTGGTAATGGTATTTTTTTATTTTAAAAATTGCATGTATAATACTTACTCTTAAGTTTATGATACTTTAAAAACAATTGTTTTTATTTCTTATTTTCTCTCATGGCTTTAAAAATTGTGTATTAATTTTTTTATTGCTACCCAGCCACGTCTGAATCCATAATCAGAGACTCCCTAAGTTCCCTGTTGGTTTTGCTGGAACACCTGTAATTAACTTTCAGAAATGTCTGCCTCATTTAAATTGCAAACCCATGGGGCAAGCATTGAAACTAATTATCCCTTCAGTAGCCTACCTCAAGCGGACTTGCAGAACACCAAGCCTAGTTTTGCCCCACTCTCTTACCTCCTTTTATACTTTGTCCCCCTGTCAGTAGAGTGTTATGCTACTTACTAGGAAAAGCAAAAACTAGTGATCATGGAGTTTTATGCATGGAGGACATGTGAGTTCACATCTCTGCTTCAACTCCTTAGTGTCTGACTTCTTTATTGCACATATCTCAAGAAATCCTAGGTCTGTACTTTGCTGAAACCAGGAGTGAATGAAATTCAGCAAGTCATGCCTGCATTATTAACTGATCTTCACCCACAAACACAGGAAGCAAAGCCAGTCATGATGTCCTCAGCTTTTTCACCCCCTAGGCCTGGACAGTTGCAGATAATATGCATCTAAAATTGGAATATAGGAGGAATAATTTTTCCCAGGATTTTTACTCATTGAGTTTATTGGTACATTTTAGGTATACAGTACAGTTACATTCATCACTGGGATCTTGTACCTTCACATGACAGGTCTTGGTTGTCATTTTTCCCCTTGTTCCTGCCTTCCCTTCACCCTCTCCTCCCTTCCCTATTTACAAATACTTTATTTCCATTTTTTCATTTTCTCATATTTTTTTCTTTTCCCTACCCTTCCCACTTCCCTTACACCTATGTTCCTGTGCTGGAACAGACATCTCATATGATTTAAAATTATCATTAAATGACAGATAACCAAACTTTTGGTTGATAAATTCACAGTATAGAAGAAAGAACTGGCAATTATTTGGATTGCATATTCATTGTAGAGAACCAACTGAAGCCTAGATAACTCGAAGTCTTTTAGAGTCACTGTTTTGGCTAACCAGAATAAATGAGTCACAAAAATAATTTATATTATTTAAATACACAACTACAGCTACAAGTTCTGAAATGTTAGATGAAAAGCTGAGAGCTTAAAGTCTGATTAGTGCCGAGTAAATGTTTCCAGTTGGCACCTTGTGGTACAGCTTCTTTGCTTGGCGTAGCACTAAAGTGGCACATACAACTTTCATCAGCACTGGTATGTTGCTCATTTAAAATTTAGGAAACACAGTGACCAACAATGATTAGTCAAATAACTGGAAAGTGGAAAATAACCCCATAATCAGGGTAAATATACATTATACTATGTAATATGTGTAAATATCAGATACAAAAGGCAGAACATGGACATCTAGAATATTTTAAGTGCTTGTACGATTGCAAGTTCTCTCTTGACTCTGGCGTGTGCCTGGAATCACAGCTATTAAACATGCTGATGTGGAAAACATTAGGTTATTGTCATCATTTCCAATTAACAGGCATCATTGCCCTGATCCTAAACTTGGCTCTCAGTGACCAGGAGGCATATAGAGAGATGATGGCTGCCTGGGGAGAGTTTAGATATTATAAACCTTACATAGTTGTGTTAGCTTGCGTGTTCCAACCCAAGAATATTAATATCATCGAATCTTTCTTTCTTTAATTTTGGAAAATATTAAGAGCTGCAAATATAATTTTATTCGCATTCATCTTCCAAGTAAATCAGATGAGGATAGTATCAATGTTGCAAAATGTTAAAGGAAGCACCTAAATTACATGCTGTGCTGTATAGGAATACAGAAGAATAGGTAGGATCTTTATTTTAAGAGTTTATATGGATGCAGTATAATGGGAAAATTAAACTAACTGATGGAATTAGTTTACCTAGCAAGGTTGTAAACAGCAGGCACACAATTTCCCACTTTGGCTGCAAACTTGGAGAGAACAGATCTAAAGAATGCTTCAAGCATAAAAGAAATTTTAAAAATAAGGAATCTGATTGTTATAGTTGATATTTTCTGTTTGGGAGGTTCTCAATAGCTTTTTCCCCTTGCTTAAAACTTCTTGATATTTGGGGAGTAGCAAGCAGTGTATCCTTGCTTTACATTGAGTACAATCTTGCTGGTTTGATTAATTCAGGCTTCTGACTTCTATAGAAGCATGGGTTTCTCTGAAGTTTCTTTCTACTAAATTATTTTTCTTACTGCTCCAGGACAGCCAAATGCTGAACATGTTCTGGCAATGAAGGACAGAGTCTCCTCAATCTGGCAGAAGACCATCTACTGTGATTCTGCTGAGACCCTTGGAAGTCACCTGGTTCTTTACTGTTTCGTCAGTTTTCTTTATGATCAGGTACATTATTCCATAACTTCCCCAAAATATAGTTCTTCTTAGAGCAACTATTATTGTTTCTGTTGCTAGAAACCAAAGAACTTTAATTAGTACAGTTTTTATTTCATCTGAAATGCTGAGAATAACTACTTCTAAGAAGAGCAGCAGGTGAGAGTGATCACCATATCTAGGGTGGATCCTTGGAAGTCAAGAGTCAAGCTGAAGTAAAAGGCCAATCTGGAATAACATTCAGACTGTCTCAGGCATAGGAATAATCCCTCAAAATGGTGATTCCTATCCATATTTCTAGGTCTTTATCTATTATATCTTGTCAGAGTTTGATTAATCTAAATGGAACTGAGCCATCTGTTACCTTTTGGACCAAACAAGTTCCATACACATAAGACAGAAATCACTCATGAGACTTTGGTTCCACGTATACATAAACACTATCTATATGCACTAGGCAAGGTTACAAAGAAAACTGTGCCCAGAAGAGAATGATTTTCCCATCTATATTCCAGAGGCAGCCATGGAGTATTTTACAATTTTTTTGTCTCTACAGAGTCCTAAAATAAAAACATCTATTACTTAAAAAAACTAACATTTGTTAGCTAATTTGTCTTAGCTACTACAAAGTGTGCAAACATAAGGTATAGTTTCTTCCTACAGAGAACATATAACTTTTTTGAAGAAGTTACTAGAGAGATTTGAAAGTTCTATAAGAAAAAAGAAAAATCTTCAAGCTATGGATGCCAGGAAAGACTTAAAGGACAAAATCTCCTTAACTTAACCATATACTTTGAGTAACCAGCTTACTTTACAGGATTTCATAGCCCAGGATAGTCCCGGATGCTTCCTAAGAGCAGAGAAGAGAAATGTTTCTGCTTGCTACTTGCCATGATCATTCTGAACGTAGCAATAAGATCAGACTCTATCCCAAAGCAATTTCTTTCCTCAAATTATAAATTGCTATGAGGAGGACAGCTGTAAAAAACCAACGGGACACAAATAACAAAACAAAATATTTCAATTGGAGCTCAAAAGATGAGTGTGCCTCACTATTCATTATTTTTTTTCATTGCAGCCAAACATATTTGCATTCATTTAGACAACGCCATTTCCCAAAAGGTTCAATCTCCAACTCTGGGTAGGTCTATTTGCACACGACTAAGTCAGGATAAGTTGACCATAAATTTAGTTACTGTTACTCCATGGAATAAGAAAGCAGTATAATTAGTATTTCCATGTTCCTATTCTGAGATAATGTTTGATTTATATCTAAAATGTCCCCCAAAGCCTCATGCACTCATAAGTGGGTCTTTGGGGGAAGTAATTGGGTCTTGGGGGCATGATCCTCACCAGTGGGTTAATCTATTGCTGATTTTGTAGCTAAATGTGATTTGGGAAGTGAAGCCTGGTTGGAAGAGTTGGTTCACTGGGGCCCTGTCTCCTTTCCTCTTCCCTTGACCTGTTAGTTTTTTTTCTGCCATGCCATGAGCAAGCCTCCTTTGTCATGCTGCCCTGCCTTAGAGCAGGTGACAGTAGACTAAAACCTTTAAGTTGTGAGTGTTGGGTATTGTGTCCCAGCAATGAGGAAAGTAACTAAGATGGATAGCATGTCAAAGAATTAGGGTTCATTATATAACTTAACCCTATTATTAATTTGATTATTATAAAATTGAAGAGGCAGAAACCATTCTTCATTTTTTTCAACTGGACAAAAATGGAGGAACTTTCCAAATATAGTTCTTAATGTCAGAGTCAGAATGAGGAGTCTAGTCTCTGGCTTCAAAACAGCTTGATTCACTAGGGCATGTTGCTTCCCTTTGAGTATAAAACAAAAGTAGCCCAATTTTATCAAACTATGTTTGCCAAGTTTCATTCTATAGGGAACTTCTATTTTTATAGCTAAGAGTAACACACACTTTATCCTAGGCAATTTAACAGCAGTGTTAGGACAGCCTATACTGTAGATTCACAAATGGAATACAAAAGCTTATGGGCATAGTGACCTATTACAAGTGGTGTTAGAGAAGAGCTGTCCACACTAGAAAATAAATGCATAGTCTCTTCACCTATACAGGAGGAATCTCTTGCTGAATTCTGAAATGGAAATATTGTTGCTTTCCCTTTCCTTCTGGTCTTTTTAATTTTAGTTAATATTAAACTTAGTAAGTGATAAATCCTATGAGGTAGGCCTACGTCTTGCTGATAGAGTGAAGAGATGTATGACTAAAATTAATACACAATCTTTAAGTAAAAGATGTCAATATCGAATCCAATAGTAGTGTAATTACAGCTGGTATATATTGAATTCTAGGCACTATCCCAGGTGTGTGTGTGTGTGTGTGTGTGTGTGTGCTAGATCATTAACCATTGAAACAATTCTATGAACTAAGATTTATTAATCACACTATCTCCCAGATGAAAAAATTTGGTATATAAGGTCAAGTCACTTCCTCAGGATTTCAAAGTCAGTAAAGAGTAGAAGGGGAACTTGAATCCAAAGCTAGTGCTTTGTTTATATTTTGACACATAGAAAGCCATGATAAATGCAAATTAGATACAAGTAGCTTGGATAAAGTCCTTTGCATTTTCTGAGTATGTAGCCTCTTTTCCCTGACTGGATCTACACCTTGTCATGATACCCTTGGATTTCTCTTCCAGAGGAATAATGACTTGATATTCAGAATGGGGAAACAATTCTAAGTCAAGAAATAAAAAGTCTGTAGACAAATTACAGAATTTCAGAGACAACTATGCAAAGTTTTCAATGTCACTTGCAGATGTAGTTCCTCAATAAGACTTAGTTCATATTTTTTATTTTTGCATAGTCCAAGGCCAGGGCAATGATATAGGAGCCTCACTGGGACTGGGTTCATAATAAAATGTAACTTTTTGCCCTAGCTGAAAACTGCTCTTGGCTACAGGAGAACCCTCAGCTAGTATCACTCTGACCTTGGAGTCTTTCTTACCTTTCAACAATAGGTTAGAGTGTCTGTCCCCAAGGACTTCCTTTCTTCCTTTTATATTGATTTAGACACTGTAATTTTGACTCTCTCTCTCCTCCACCCACTTCTGTTCTAAATACTGGGCAGGAAGAGTCAAATAACTTAGGATTCACTGTGAAAAGTGTCACCTCGATTTCCTTCCTCACATCACTGGTAAATTTATGTTCTCTTCTGGAGCCTGGCTTCGTTCTCCTGGTTGTGAGTTCTGAAGTATGAAAGGGCAACTCAGAATTCTTGTTACTCTAAAGCAATATAGTGAGAAAAGAAAAAGGTATTAATTTGAAGTTTAATCTAATTTGGCTTTTGTTTGAAGAAAATTTGTTTTGTTTCATTTTTGTACCTTTTTATTTTCAGTATACATGTGAACGTTTTCTGAAAGCTACTGAACAATCTCATTTGGCCTTAGCAATGCTGATCCAGCATAGAAATCCCAGAAAATGTCATTGTTTGATATGATAGGGTACAAGGAGAGCAGCAGGATCAGGCGATAGGTGGCCTGGACATCTAGGGAGGGAGGATGGCAGAGAGCCAGGAGGAACCAGGTTTCAAAAATGAGCTTCAGTGTGTTGATATTTTTTCATTACTTGATCATTTGTGAAAGTCACACCATGCATGGACATTTCCCCTTTCTACCAATTTACTATGTTGTGTTTCAACAAAGGAAATAAGATGGGCACTTAGTTTCATCATGACCATATACTCAATTTTGGTGTAATTCCAGAAATATGTATGATTCTTTCTTCTGCTTCTAAATTGACAAGTGTGATCTACAAATCTCTAAAGAATTCTGGTCTGCTAAATATTCAAGTGGGTGTCTGACAGAGTGAAGGAAAATTAGACAGAGATAAAAAGAGCCAGGCAAGAGAGAGAGAGAAAAAAAACAACAACACACAGTTAAGTTGAAATTTACAAAATAGCAAGGTTGTTTACATACAGTAAAGATTTTGCTGGATCTTATTGGGAAAAACAAATCTACCATATCAATTATTAACAGCTAACCATGTAACTCTATTATTTCCAGAAAAAGATTAATCAACTTACAACAGCATGATTTAAGATTCCTTTAATTTTATTTTATTAAAAAATTGGGAGGGATAAGTTATTTGGAGAAAGTATTCATGCCCTTAGTGAGAGGAAAACCCCACCTCTTTTTTCACGGTGTGATGATTCTAGTCCGAACGCAGTGAGTTTCTGGAAATGGCAAGCGAGACACTTGTTGCCATGGTGATTGTTAATAGTTCTGACTCAGATATAGTGTTGCTATAGCAACAGCATTGAAACCCTTGGGAGGTGGTGCAGTCTTTTTTTTTTTTTTTTTTTTTTTTTTTTTTTTTTTTTTTTTCACGGTGTGATGATTCTAGTCCGAACGCAGTGAGTTTCTGGAAATGGCAAGCGAGACACTTGTTGCCATGGTGATTGTTAATAGTTCTGACTCAGATATAGTGTTGCTATAGCAACAGCATTGACCCTTGGTAG